CTTCAAATATACGCGGCCAATTTCAGTACATATGCGCACAAAAAACATAGTAAGCAGCTTGTGAGAGAGAGAGAGCAATGGCACAAAAAACTCAAAACACCTCAAAAGGGTAGATATTCTTAAGCCATAAGGCATAGTGAGTTAAATCATTGAAAGCCGGGGATGTCATTGAGCAGGCCCATTTCAAATTTTCCTTTTCTTTTTGACTTCCTCAGCCTGATAATGAAGCTATAATTAGTGCACTAAATGTTAAAATACAATCAACACACGAAGCTTATTCTCTTTCCCACACTTTTTGGAGAACTTAGTATTTCTATTTAGAGGGAGAAGATTCTCAAAATAACAGCAAAATCAATTCTTGTTTTAGTAAGGTTGCAAATACAAAGATTCTCACATACTTATCGTAACAAAACAAGATCGCCTTACCTGTTCAAGGACAGAATCTATATCTCTACCCCTCTCAACCGTGTCACGTCTTATTCTTCGAGCCAGCCTCACATCAGCATCTATAGCAATTGAATCATGGAAAAATTACCTATTTGAAAATCCAAGAGAAATAGCAAAAAGAATCCACTTCTCCTTGAAAAAATAGAAAAGTTACTTAAACATTCAAATTCGAGATCAGATTAATTAAAGAACATCAAATATAAAAGTGCTCTGGATAGAGTATAAAGGGAATAATTTTAGAGTTCCGAGACAATTTATGTTTAGACTAACTCATACACTGATACCAAGAAACGGTATAAGAGAAGACAAAGTTTATAAGAGTACTATTTAAACATTTTAAGGCAACCAAGAAAATAAATGAAAACGAGCCCGTTGAAAGACCGTTCAGCAAAATGCTCTGAGATTCTTAACAGGATAAGTGAACTACGAGAGTGAAGGGAAAATTGCTTTGTGAAAACCAATGAAATAGCAGAGCATATCTTATATACTGTTAACAACGATTCTTTGCAAAGCCATCTCATTTTTGTCATCATATACTGATGGAATTCATCCTTATTTTGCATAAAATTATTCTCGCGAAGATATAGCACTTTCTCCACTTTTTTCTCATGATCAGGTTTTAAATAACAGATCGATTCTTTCACTCTTTGTGATATCAAATTTACACCAAGAAGTGGAAAACTCTAACGAAAAAGTAAACTTCCGAACTACTGCGTATTTTAACTTTGAGTAAGTTATTTTGGGTTTCCATTGGTGGTTACAAAGTACATCCAACCACTCTACTTTCAATAAAGCAAGAGCAGACGGCACAATTAGAAGCAGGCATTATATGTACATATAGGCCTCTGGGAACCTTTCTTTTCTCCTTTTTATGTGATTTCATACCTGTGTCAACAAATATTTTCATGTTCATCAAATTTCGGACTCTTTGATCATGGAAAACCAGGATTCCCTCCAAAATAATAACATCCGATGCATTCACCTGACAACAAAATCATACTCACATCATTAAAGAGAATCCTACAAATTCTTCGGAGTTCAAAAGAATTTGAAACAGGTCATTTTAAACAATGAGAAGGGGCTAAGACGCCATGTCTTCCAGTTACAGTGCTAGCACTCTTTAGTCAGTTTTGATGGTTTTGCCCCTTGTTCCCTTTTTTCAAGTTATTTTACAAGGGCTAGAAAGCATGAGCAGAGGTAGCACAATCCTCTCATGTAACTACGTATTCCAGAGTATTATGCTGGACGATAGAAACCATGTGGAAGTGGTCAGACAAAACTTTAATAACTGATGAAAAAGGTTGTGGACTAAGTACCTGACGAAAGCTATCTGAGCAGCGACGATGAGTCTTAAAATCATATATCGGAACCTGATAAGATTGACTGGATTTGAGCTTTTGAATGCAGTCTAGAAGCTGATCAGTGTCAAAAGCATCTAAAGAAAACCAATAGACAGTTAAACGTATCTCTCAAATATTCAGTCACAGCTTGTACGGAAAAATATACCATACTAGACAAGATTGATACTAAAACAAGCTTTAACAATCAGGGCCAGAAAATTACCAGGATGATCAAAGTTATACTCATGAACCCGCTCCGACTCTTCAGGGGTCAAACCACGGTAAAAGGAATCCTTTTCAAAATAACTAAAACGTATCAAAATGTTAACACATATCCACTCGACCACTACCACTATATGCAGCTCGCTGCATTGGTAGTATAACAGCTCGTAAGCATATGCCCGGAATCGGAAAGCAAAACCAAGCGGCACCTGGTTAAGCAGCACGACGCGGTGATCATGAAGTTGCTGTATAATCCTGTCACAAACTGTGGTCTTGCCAGAAGCAGTACCTCCGGAAACACCTGCGCACACGATCACCAAACAAGAGAAGATGAGGAGCAGCAGTTACACCGGAACGACGACATCAAGCACATCGAGGCGACGGCGACCGCGGCATATCTCCGCGCAGTACATTCCCCCAAACACATCCACATGCAAGCAAATCCTTACACTCAGGGCGCGCAAACTAAGCAGCACGGCATCCTAAAGCGAACTCTCGCTCGCAACCCAAACTCACACTCAGAGACGCGGAGCACCGCGTGAAAATGCGCAGAAAACGCCGATGCAATCATCAAATTTCAACTCGAATGCGAGTAAAGCTAAAGCAAATCTCGGCCTCGGAAGCGCATGACGAAGCAGCCTCCGGCGAACAACGGGATCGAGGAGAGGAGAGGAGAGGAGGGATTAGGGCGAGTCACCGATGAGAAACGGCTCCCTCTGCCTGGGAGTGCCGGGATCGGGCTGGCCGCCGCCGGCGGCTGCGGCGGCGGCGGCGCGGGGGGAGGAGGAGGGCGAGGAGAGGAGGCCGTCCAGCCGGAGGCCGGAGAAGTGGAACCCGGAGGCCTCCTCCATGACGTAGTCGATGGCCAAGGGCTCCTCCGGCATGGCCGTTGCTCGCTCCAGCTCGATCAAATCCCGATCTCGGCGGGAGGGAAGAGTTTCCGGCGAGCCGCTGTGGATCGCGACACGAGTGGCGTTGAGTGACAAAAGAACAAGCAGGGGCCGTTTGGCTTATTTAAAGGCATGCTGGTTTACACCTTAATCCAAAGCAAAATCAAAAATTAAAAAGAAAAATCGCAAAAAATTCCAAACTATGTCTTTCACGTTTTTCTTGTGACGTAGAAAAACTCAAGTTTATACCTATGTGATATATTTACTCTCCGTCAAGATTTCGTTAGATGATTTTTCAGCTAAAATAATATTGATTTTATTTCACTCAAGTCACATGGACATCATATTAACAATGTTTACTTTTTGGCGTCTTGTTTACTTTCTGGTGTCCATGTAGACAAATTTTTAACGGTTCTCGTTAACAGAACTTTGACGGAGAGTAAATGTATCAAAATGAGCATAAATTAAGAGTTGTAGTGTCTTCTGCCCTAATAATATGAGAGGTTAATACCACTAAAAACCCTCAAACTAATACATCTGCAATAAATTTACTCAAAACTAATTTTTTTTACCACCAAAAACTCCAAACTGATACATATATAATAAATTTACCCCAAACTAATTTTTTAATTACCAAAAACTCCGAACTTGTACATTTATGACAAATTTACCATCTGTTAAATTGAATTAATGCCACGAAAAACCCCAAATCGGTATACATATGACCAACGGAGGGTTAAACCACAAACCAATACACATGTTAACTGATATTCAATTTAGAAATTTGACGGTAAAATTTAATGAAAACTAATGGAGGGTAAAATTGTCATAGGTATATCAGTTTGGAGTTTTTGATGGTCAAAAAATTAGTTAGAGATAAATTTATAATGGCTTAATACCCTTTAAAACCTCTAATTTTAGGTCATGTTCCAATTCTACCATAAATTTTCTTTTATCCCATAAAAAACCCTCAATTTTATATCATTTCCCGATTTTACCATAAATTATTTTTGTCTTATGAAAAACCCCAAACTTCGGTCTTATCCCAATTTTATCGTCGAGTCCCAATTTTATCCTAAAATTTTTACAGTTTCATAAAAAATCATAAACTCTTACTTGAGTCACAAATCTGTCCCCATTAACTCTCAATCCAAAATTTCTCTTTGACAACCGAGAGATGGAAAACTCCCGAGCGCGAGCTCTCCGACCACAAGAGATGGAACATTTCCAAGCACGAGAGATCGAAGACTGAGCGCAAAATCCGTAAGAATAATTTTGACGGAAGGTTAATGGAGAGAAGATTTATAACTCAAGTAATAGTTTTTGATATTTTATGAGGCAAAAAAAATTAGAGTGACAATGAATTGGACCTAAAGTTTTTATTTTTTTATGAGACAAAAAAAGTTTGTAGTAGAATTGTTAGTGGACTTCAAGTTGAGGGTCTTTTATGAGATAAAAAAAGTTTAAAATAGAATTGGGACTGAACCTAAAGTGTGAGGTATTTTATGAAACGAAAAAAGGTTTAAGGTAAAATTGGAACAAGACCTAAAGTTATGAGCTTTTTACGAGACAAAAGATAGAATTGGGACAAAAACTAAAGTTTGAGGTTTTTTAGGATATTAAGTCAATTTATCACAAGTGTACCCACCTAATATGAACGATAATATAGAGATTTTGTATCACTCCTCTCTATACTTGGGATGTCCAAACAACCAAAGCATCCAAGCCTTCTTCTTTTCTAACCCTTTCTGCATGACGAGTCCAGAAATTGGGAATAAGATGCTGATAGTGATAGATTTTTTCCTTCTCTCTTTTTCGGTGCTCTCTCTCTTTTTCCTTTGGTTCAGTTCGTCCGTAGAGAACAGAATCCGATCTGCCATGAGAATGGCATCTGCGATGGGCGACGGGATCACGTATTTACCCTTGCAAAGCTACGATGACGCGTAGTTACGGCTCTTATACGAGTCCGCCGTAGTCTATACGTCCTTAATTTGTACAAAGAAAGAGACGTAGACCATGCGCTCGACTCTCGTGGTACGACCGATCAGGCTCGACGAATTTCGTGCACTAATTTTAGCAATGGGGCAATGGCTAGAAGAAGTGAAAGCAAAATGGTCGTGTCGCGTTCATTTCCCCTCGATTCCTATTCGTAAAAATTTGGCTAGAGTCCCTAGGAGTTTTACTGCTGGTTTTTGAAGAAAGACAGCACTTGGCCATACACCATGTCTTTGGCGTTCACTCCCATTATGAAATCGGCGTGAGCGTAGTCTTCGACGAACTGGACGGTGAGCTTGCCGACGTCGTGGAGCTTGAGGCTGTCAAGCAGGCGCTCGACGTCCCGTGTGTCGGAGAGCGCGTCCCGGCCTCCGTAGCTGAGGAAGATTGGAAGGTCGCGGGGGATGTTGGAGAGGTTGTACACCGGTGGCCACACGCCCCCGTAGTGCATCACGTTGAAGATGGGGTTCCCATAGTCGTACTTCGCCAGCACGCCGTCGCGAACAGCTGCGAGCAACGACACCAATTCGTTTTTCAAGTGATCGTGAGTTCTACGCCAAAGAAATGTAGACAGGCAATTTGAATGAGCATTGATCATGAACATGTGCTTTCTGCTTAAAACCCTCTGAGAAAATAGGATTGATCGTGCATTAAACCTACTTTGAGACAAATGCACCAAGTTCCTGGTCGACGTCGATTGCGGTTCGTTCTCCAAAAAGAGATCGACGGTGGAAACATTGAGACAGCAGTTTTTGCCTGGGATCGATCAGTCGAAATCAACATAATCAGCTTAATCCTTCCCAATTTGAGATCAAGAACATATCTCGCACGGCGAAGTAAGTTAGTACCGGTCAATGCGGCTAGTAAGTCGTAGCAATCGACACCAGGATAAGCGCACAAGGCCTGGAGAAAGTTAGCCACGGGCTCGCTGCGACCAAAATATAAATGCACAATCATACAGCAACAGAAAAGAGGAGACGGACGAAGCTTTGAATCAAGCGTAAGAAATTCTCGAAATTTTTGCTGTTCTTTTTCCTTACCCTTTTGGATTGAACTCGGCCAGTCCGAACAACGTGGTGATCTGTGAATGATGCAGAACCATCAAATGCAGCTCCCTCAGGCATCATGGTGGACATGTATGTATGCACAAAATGCCCCTAGTTCTCTAATCACAATGAAAGGGAAATAGCCGAGGGAATCATCTGCCTGCTCACCTCGCCGACAAAGGCTCTGGCCGCGGTGACTCCGAGGGCGGTGGTCATGTGGCTGAGATAAGCGATGGGGCTCAACAGAGCCGCCGATTGCAGCTTGTCCACAAGTCTCCCTTCTGATAAGGATGCCAAAACTGTCAAAGTTCCCTGGAATTAGAAAGAAAAATTTACCCAAAACCTCAGATCTGCAGTACAAATCATGTTGCTTGAAAGGAAAGGCACATCGATTGCATCTTCCTTCTGTCATATAAGGACGATTCTACTGTTCCATTACCCCCCACGATGCATTTTTCTTTCGTACAACGATTTACCGGGGCATAAAACATGCGCGCATATACGTGGCGTACGACTCGATTCCAGGAAGCGTGCTGAAAATAATTTCTTACCAAAGAGTGGCCGACGTAATCTATCTTCTTCCCAGTTTTCCCGTGGATGAAGTCGAACACCGCCGGTAGATCGAATGCCACTAGTTCGTCCCACGACCAATTCCAGAAATCCTGTCAGCAATTCAATTACCAGTTCATTTGACGATGCACAATTCTTCGGCATTCACTGGTTACAACTACAACTAACGTGAAGATCCCATTCAAATTTAGTACATACGAAGATTCTGAACGTTAGGTGCACTTGAAAATAAGCGGCAATGAAAAATTGGGAAAATTACCAAAAAGTCCTAAACCTTTTGTAATTGTGCCAATTCGAGTCCTAAACCTTTTTTTTGCCAATTCGTCTAAACCTTTTGCATTCAGCCAATTCGGTCCTTTTGGCCGGCCGGAGCGACGTGGACGCGGCCGGCGCCGACGTGGACGCCGAGCCGCGCCGGCCGGTGATGTGGCAATATTTTAATATTTTTTCGAATATTTTTTTCCTTTCCCTTTTTTTTTTTTTTTCCTTCTTCCCCCTGGCCGGTCCGGCCGGGGAAGCTCGCCGGCGAGGTCCACCGGGAGGCTCGCCGTCGCCGGCAAGGCGAGGCGACCTCGCCCGGCCTTGCCACGGCGTGCGACGCGAGGCGGAGCTCGCCATGGCCGGGCGAGCTCGCCCTCGCCGCCGCCGGCGAGGCTCGGTGTCGCCCAACTCGCCCGGCCGGCGGTGAGGGCGAGCTCGCCCGGCCATGGCGAGCTCGCCGTCGCCGGCCCTCGCCGGATGCGGGCGAGGTCGAGCTCGCTCGGCCATGGCGAGTGGCCGGCGAGGGCGACCTCGCCCGCATCCGGCGAGGTCGAGCTCGCCCGACCATGGCGAGCGGCCGGCGAGGGCGACCTCGCCCAGATCCGGCAAGGTCGAGCCTCGCCGTCGCGCGCCCACGGCGAGGCTCGCCTCGTCGGCAGCGGCGAGGCCTGGCGAGGGCGGAGCTCGCCATGGCTGGGCGAGCTCGCCCCGCCGCCGGGCGACGCCGAGCTCGCCGGCGGCGGCGAGGGCGAGCTCGCCCCGACCATGGCGAGCTCGCCCTCGCGCCGGCCTCGCCGTCGCACGGCCGTGGCGAGGCTAGGCGAGATCGCCTCGCCTTGCCCGGCGGCGGCGAGCCTCCCAGTGGACCTCGCGGCGAGCTTCCCTTGGTCGGACCGGCGGGGGAAGAAGGAAAAGAAAAAAAAAATTCGAAAAAAATATTAAAATATTGCTACCGTCACCGGCCGGCGTCCACGTAGACGCCGGTCGGCGCTACGTCGGCTCCGGCCGCCAAAAGGACTCGAATTGGCTGAATTGCAAAAGGTTTAGGACCGAATTGGTTAAAAAAAAAAGGTTTAGGACTGAATTGGCACAACTACAAAAGGTTTAGGACTTTTTTGGTAATTTTCCCATGAAAAATTGCATAGAACTCGTTTTGTGCTTGATGCAGCGGATAAATATAGGCTCAAAACTTGTATGGATCAGGTGCACCGTGAGAGAATTTATTAGGTGAATGTTGGACATGCACTAGAATGAATCTAGACCATCGACTATAGTGGGTCTCGATAACGAATCCGATGACTGCCGACTCATCGAGAAATGGTATTTGGCAGATCGCAAAGCAACCATAACTTATCTAGGCTCGAAATCTATACGGGCTCGAGCTCAGGTGCGATGGCTACTTGCCACGGGCCGCATGACTGGTGTCGGGCCCAATTAAGTATTCCCTACTCTAGGATAAGTGATGCGACGAATCCAGCAAGGGTACCAAACTAGATGCGAACCATCGAATCTAGCATGACTCATATGGGATTCACATGAAGCCCGCCACTTTTCGATAATACGAATCGAGTTGATTAAATTTAGAGGGAGATGCACTACTCACGGGGTTGGTGGGGTCCAAGGAAGTGTGGCGCCTGCTGAATTGGGTGCCTCGGGTGTTGGAAATCCACACATCGAACCCGTTGTCGGCCAGAATCAAGGGCAGGTCCTGCTCCGGTGGGTTCAGAAGCCATGTCATCCCGTCCTGCAACTCGCAAACGTACCGCCATGAAAAGGTAAACTCCATCGTCGGGACAAAAACATGCGAAGTGATAAACATGCTAATGAATCTTGTCTTCTACGAGGAACCAGAGATATTATTTAATGTTGTGGCACGTAGCAAAGGAGGAGACACATCACCTAACTTCGCATGCACTGCACTGCACAGCGCCTGCGTACCTAATTGGCGTTACGCCTGAGACACTGCGCAATCCTGGCGGATCGTACGGAATTTGGTAAGAAGCTTGTCGCCCGGATCCTCCTAATTTTCAGCCTCAATTTGGTAAATACTTCAGAGGCCGAAAAGAAGAAAGATCGAGCCGACTGTTCATGGTCGCCGGCGCCGTCGCCGGCCAAGCTCAGGCAACTGCCAGACCTGAACCCCGGCCCGAGCCGAGATGGGTAAAGGACTGAGGCGGGGCAAGAGGTCTATCGCAAGCCCTGCCCGGCACCCGATCTGGCATCCCCATCTATGTCAGAGTCCGGCGACGGCAAGCGGCGCATCGGTGTGGCAACTTAATAAACTCAAAAGGATGCTTAATTTAGAAAATTCGTGTTTATCTGAGTCAGAGAACTCTAGAAAGTGGAGACATCAGTGTCGTCGTGCAAGCACTAATTAATGCTAAAGTGCCGTGAATCGTGCCCACCTTTTGGAAATTTAGGAAAAAGGCGATGCATTATCTGTACGCTGTTCACTAATGGTGTCCCCTCAAACCGATCGATGCTCGGCGATCGTCAAATGCCTCGTCAACGCCAATGATGAACCCTTGACACGCTCGTTCTTCTTACCATTTCATGCGAATTTTGAAACCTACGATGTTCAGATACTATAACAAAACAAGGACGTGATGACAAAATATCTTCTCGCACTGTTTATCCTGTGGTCAAACAGAGAGCATCGCTTTCACACTATAAATACTCGGAAAGCTTCAGCTCCGTTCCCGAAGGATACGCCTTTCTTGCCACTCGGAGGCCATCATGGTCAAGGAGAGGTCTCCCGCTCTACCACTAATTTCCGGGTCCTTACTCTCCGGCAATTTCTTCGAGCGTTCAAACGTCTCTTGTTTCTCGTGTCGATTCGACAATACCCAGTCGCATAATCGAAAGGGTAATGCATATGCAGCACAAAATGAATGAGTCCGGCGGTCTCGAGCCAGGGAATAAGGCACTCACCACGAGGACGCCGTGCTGTAGTAGGACTGGCTGCTTGTTGGTGCCGCCCCCGCTTCCCCCGGCTCGGCCTTCTGGTATTCTTTGCACGTTTAGTATGTATCCATCCTGAGTGACCACCTGAAAACAGAACGCCCAACGAAAACAGAGTGTTAGACACGTTAGTCATCATTCTCGCGACGTACGTCCGAAGATGCTACCCTAATCTCATTCTGATGGATGAAGCTAATCAAGATTTTAAGGTTTTCGCGAGCTGCTCTTACTTACATCGAACTCCTGGCACTGGTAACCATGTATCGTGACAGACGAGGCGCATATGCCCGCAGCAGTCGGAGGGGCAACAATGCCGCCGTCGCCGCCGACGCCGAGCGTCGAACCGCGGCTCGAGCCCTGGGCTACACGCGGCTCCACCGCCAGGACCAGGAGGAAGCAGCCCAGAGCCAAGCTCGGGAAGCCACCCACGCTCATAACCATCAAGTTCCTCTCTTTTGGGGTGTTGGGGTTTTCTGGGTCGAAGGAGATGAAGAGCTGAGAAACCACAAGCGCGCACGGCCCCTTCTTTATATAGAGAAATTCTCGGGGGAGGAGGAAGAAGAAGAAGATAGAGGAGGGGAGGCGAAAGGAGTAGTGGGAAAAGGATTCGCTTTCGTTTCTGGGTTTCTGCAAAAGGGGGTCTTGTGCGTATTTACAGGGATATTTCTTGCCCAAGACGGTACGGGTTTTTCACGTTTCGAGGGAAGAACGAGTGAATGATGATGGAAGAAAAACAAAGGGAGATGGACAGAAAGAGAGAAACATGACAGAAAAGGGATCGATCACTCGTGGGTCCCGATCGGCCCCATCAAATAGCAGCAACCAACTAGGGAAAAGATAAGCCATGACTCACGAAGATAGACAGATGCCCTTTGCATCGCTCTACCTGAGTTTTTTGAATCCAGCTGTTTGTTTTTCTTTCCGAAGAAAGCGCTAGTTGCTAAGGTGCATGGATTTTCCTAGAAAGTTTTGTATGACTTTCGTTCTTCTTTTTGTTGGCCGAGCTGATGTGATCTCGAGAATCCATTTGGTCCGGTTCTCCCCGAAGGAATTTTGGCCGTGAAAAATGGGTGTTGCGGTTTTCATAAGGTTGTTTGACGAAGATTCCATAGATGCCTATCCCGTCGAAAAGCATCGAAGAGATAAATCACGGAACTATTGACATTGCTCGGAAGTTATGCCGATTATTGTCGAGGGCAGTAACATGTCAACCGTGATAAATTCGTGATAAATACCGAATGAGTAAGGAAATATTGTAGAGAGAATTCTTTTCAACTGATGCTTTGTTATTGCGATGGATGAAGTAATATGTGACTATTTCGATCGAAAAGCTACTGGGCAAACGTAACTTTACAGATTATATCAATCACATGTAGAAAAACAACGATACACACCCCGGGTATCCCTAAAGACATCGGAATTTCTTAGAGCCCCGTCGGCTGCTGCGTACATGCGCGAGCAAATAGTTCGATGTCCTCATGTAAAACGGCATCATGGCCACGGAATTTCGATTCAGTGTTGGGCAATGTCAGCAAAGAATGGTGTAAATAGTCTAGGATCTTCAAGAGAAAGAGAATCAATAAAGAAGGGTTATTATACCCGAACAATATGCATAGGAAAGAAAATTAGGTATCTTAAAAAATAACGAAATATCAAATAATATCCATAATATCTAATAATATCTCCAACAATATTTTCTGAAGCTACGTTTGGTAGTCTGAATTTGAGTCCGGATAGGATAACAAAATATCATATCTACTATTTGGCGAAAATAGTGATAGCTCAAAATGGTCCGGATAAGATAACAAAATATCTTATCCACTATTTGGCAAAAACAGTGATAGCTCAAAATGGTGCTAATCTCGGTCTTGTGAGATTATAGGGATGCTGCCTTAGATTTGGAAAATATCACCTCTGTGAGCAAATAGGATTTTCAAAGATTTTGAATCTTATATTGGATTGCACCAAACATGAGAAATGATTTTTCACAATCCGAAGGATATTTGAAGTATTTATAATCCCACCTCATCCTATCTCCTATCCCATTTCAAATCCAGGCGACCAAACGTAACCTAATAGAGAAATCTATAACATAAATATACTTAATCAAATGACTCATTTTATATCCGTTACAATTTTTGGAAATATGTAATTCCATGAATCACTTATGAATCTAAGTGAAATAGCATACGCAATCAGGATCCTTGAAGTGAATTGCACATACAAAACTGAGTAAACACATATCTTTATGGGCATTACAGTCGCGTTCACACATGACATGCTGGGTGGTCTTGAGTCTCCCCAAAAGCTAACTCAAAAGGTGAGGCTTTCCCTTCACAGTTATAAACTGACCACATGCCAATTTCACAAGAAATGTGAGATAACCCACACAATTTTCCCTCACACATCAGGTTTAGGTCGGAGCTGCAACAACCCTCTTTGAGTGACTGTTGCATCCAGACTTGTTGATAACATAGGCTCTGATATCAATGTTAAGTGGTATTGAACCTCTCTCACCCCAAAAGCTAACTTAAAGAGTGAAACTTTCACTAAGACTTATAAACTAACCACCTGTCCTTTCTGTTAAACCCAACACGCCGTTGGCAGCCTTACGCGTAGCTAGCGAAAAAGGGCACGAGATAACTTGCATCTCTTGTGTCTCGATCAGCAAGAGCAGAGCATCGCACCAACATTCCATGTTACATTAAACGTAGCCTTTTGTCTTTGGGAGTTTGGGTTTGCCTTGGCAATGGTGAGTTATCTTGAAGGATCAAGACTTTCAGTGTGAACTGAAACTGGTGAGTTTGACCCTATTCCAGGAGGGAAAATTATCAAATCAGTCCTAAACCTATTGTACGGCGGCCAATTCAGTCCTAAATCTTTTAATTTTGCCAATTCAGTCATAAACCTTTCTAATTCTTGCCAATTCAGTCCTTCCAGCCAATTTTGGCCGGCCGGCGCTGACGTGGCCGCCGGCCGGCCGTCGTCTGCCAACGCTGACGTGGCAATTTTTTATTATTTTTTTTCAATTTTTTAATCTTTTTTTTCTTTTTTTCGATTTCTTCCTCCGGCCGGTCCGGCGACCGGCCGAGGGGGAGGGCCGGCGAGGTCGACCTCGCCGGCCTCGCCGTCATGACCTAGGCGACGGCAAGGTCGGCCTCGCCGCGCCCGGGGGAACCAGCAGCGCGAGGCCGACCTCGCCGACGCCCGGGTCGCGACGGCAAGGTCGAGCCTCGCCGGATCTGGGACGAGGGCGCCGGGCGAGGTCGACCTTGCCGTCGCCCGGGTCGCGACGGCGAGGTCGAGCCTCGCCCGATCTCGGCGAGGCTTGACCTCGTCGTCACGAACCAAGCGAGGGCGAGGCGAGGCAAGCGCGGCGAGGCCGACCTCGCCGTCGCCTCGGGTTCGCAACGGCGAGGTCGAGCCTCGCCAGATCCGGGCGAGGCTCGACCTCGTCGTCGCCTGGGTAGCGACGGCGAGGTCGGCCTCACCTCAGCAGCGGCGAGGCCGGCGAGGTCGACCTCGCCGGCCCTCCCCTCTGGCCGGCCGCCGGTCGCCGGACCGGCCAGAGGAAGAAATCAGAAAAAAAAAAAAAAAAAAAAGATTAAAAAATTGAAAAAAAAATAATAAAAAATTGCCACGTCAGCGCCGGACGGTCGGCGGCCACGTCAGCACCGGCCGGCCAAAATTGGCCGGAAGGACTAAATTGGCAAGAATTAGAAAGGTTTAGGACTGAATTAGCAAAATTAAAAGGTTTAGGACTAAATTGACCGCCGTACAATAGGTTTATGACTGATTTGACAATTTTCCTTATTCCAGGAACATAACACAAGTTCCATTGTCTTGCTCGGCCACGCATGGCCACGACTCTGTCTCCTTCACCTGCTCTCTGCCACCCAGCACAATTCCAATAATGGCTCAATTATGCTCTCGATGCTAGTCTCGATCCCTTTCCCGCTAGTTCAAATGGTGTGAACATTGTCTGAACGGCAGCAGTGCTTAGCAAAAGAAAAGCAAAATGTGGCTGGGATTGTTAGCTCCTTTTCGCGGTTTTCATCGACGTGGAAGTAGATCCAAGATGTGATAGTCGCTTCGACATACCCGAAAAGGCGAAGTAGTGCGAATACGGGGAGCGGATGGTGAGCCGGCGCGCATAGAATAGAATTGGATCTTAAAGATTGGTGAAAAAAAGAGAAGCTGGGGGGGACTTTTAAGAAGGTGCCGGCAGGCCTTACTAGGAAGACAACATATGTTGGTAATGGAATCGCATATTGTCCTAAAAGCTGATCATGTGTGTTTTGTGCTTTTGGCAAATAAAGTTCTTTTCACATTGATCCACTTTATTACCTCCTAAGATCACTCTCCATGTGCAACGGGGCGGGTACTATCATTTCAAGCACTTTACTCAAATACTATTACCGATGGCGCACTTGCGTTCTTTCCCGGAATTTTCGTAAGTAGAAATACCGAAAATCCCCTTGAAATGGCGCCCGTTTGTCGAGAGTTCCCTTTAGATTTGATTTTGTTTTCAAAACACCCTCTGAAGTTGATCATTTTGACCCAATAACTCCCGAACCGATACCGTTTTCCGAAATTCCTCCACGGACTTAACTTCGTTTAAAAATGTCCCTAACTTGATCACTTTGACCCAATAACTCTCCTGAGCTCATCATCATCGAAAATAATGGCTAGCCGATGAACATGTGCTCGTCACATGCACATTTTGCACCTTTTCCAGACATATTTTGGTGAAAATCATCGTAACCCTAAAACCCTAAATTGAAATTTGAAAAAAAAAATCCCCAATTCACCTTTCGTGGCCCGTACTTATTAATCCAAATGTTAGGCCCACGAGCTTATTCATCTAAAGGCTGAGGGCCTGAGGCCAAGCCTGCAAATCTCACCATACATAGAACAACATTAATTGAGCGTATCAATTTACCGGTCAGCATAATTGTTGACTTGATTTAACAAATTATTAGTTCAAGAAACAATTGACATGCGGGAGGAATGCCACCAGAAAAAGACCAAGCAAAATGCGAAACTTCGATGACTGATGTAAGTCCCTGCCGATCGATGTGGGTGCCCGTTAAGGATATGTAAGTTCTTTGCTGACTCTAGAATGCATATGGCTTTCGAGTATCATATTGACAGCAGAGAATGAAGAGGGAAACAAGTTGCAGCAGCCAAAAATCTGTACAAGTCATTTTTTACATGATCATGGTGAATATGTGTACTAAGACCGCATACATTTTAAGAACTTAATTCAAGCATCTCCGGATCATTGTGTGTGTAATATGTACATGTGTAAGTACACAAACACAAGTGTGTATATATATCAAAGTGGTAACCAGAGTACTGGTTATAAGGTTCTAACCATGTATAGCTGCGGCAGGGGTCATCTTCCTTCTCCTTTTACTAGAACCGCCACACGATACCAAGCTCGAAAGGCAACCCTGAAATGGCGTGACATGTTTCTCCTCGACGATCGTCGAACTTCCACCAGCAGTCCTCTTGCTGCTGTGAACAGAGTTAGCCCCAGATGCACTAGAAATCCCTCGTGCCGGGTTTGTGGGGTTATTGGAAAATTTATTGTCACCATTGATACGTTGGCCACCTTGGAAACTCTCCTGGAAAAGTTCAGCCAATTTCTTTTTGCCATCAGCTGGAATAGGTTTGGGAATGGAACCCAGTGTTTCGTCCTTAAAAAAGGTTGTGATCCTTTGAGGTGTGCTCGTAAAGAAGCTATCATGGACCGGAGTATTGCCGCGAGAAGGAGTGAAATCTGCAGTGAGAATAAACAGAAAAGAAGAGTTCAATCTTTTTTTGACTGAATCATTGAGAGGCACTGAAAGAAAACTAAGTGGTAGTGCTTAATGCAAACTCTGTTTCATTCACTCCAGAAAGGATGCAATTTGATAAAGACATGACTAGAGATTTGTCAATGGTAGACCACGATGCCATTAACATTAGAAGGAACCAATTGCTCTCGTTCTATATCCAATTGAAAGTCGAAATATGAACCCAACAAGAGGAAAAACTTTAGGAGCATATCTGCATTTAATAGTCTGAAGAGCTTAATATATAGATGAGATGTCTCACATTGTACTTGGAAGTTGGAACACAATTATCATCAAGAAACTCATCACAGAGAGATCCAACTTACAGAAGTTATATTGATTGAATAGCATAAAAAATAAAATAAAAAACCTTTCCCCTTACCGCCTTTTACACTGAAGAATTCATCTTCACAGTCCGACTCCATCCAGGCTTGAGAATCAAAAAAGTTATCCTCTTTGCTGCCTGACCACAGAAATACATCGATCAAGTTCGAGCGCCAAGAAGTAGGAGATACGGTGCATCGCAAGCAATAGAAAATTACAGTCACTCATCAGACATCACTAAAAGATGATTGCAACATCAACCGGTTAATAGAGGACCATGCAGGAATCTGCATCTACTGCTCTTTTCCTGATATCAGCAAATACACGGCCATGACCGTTTAATTCAATGTGCATAATAAAGCTAAAGAAGAAAATACGAAAAAGGCTGCTTCTTAAACAAAACCATCACTGTCACAAAAAACTCAAACGTCAGTTCTCGACAAATCATGCGATCAATGAATGTATACAGGGAGAGCAGAGGCAATGGGAGCTGGAAAGGAAATAAAACACAGCCATACGGACAAAACAAGTAAATGGTGGTTTGGAGCAGAGTACAATACGCACACTTGGTTTTGTTGAGAAATACAATGGAGGACTCTTAAAATGCTTTCATCAAATCGAGATCGACGCAAGGATATGTCAGTATACGTTGCGAAGTTCTCCGTAATTTGACTCTAGCAAGGTTCAAACGACACTATCTTAGAAGAGACAAATCAAGAGCTACATCCATGTAAGTTCCACCAAACGGATATAGCTCTCGGATTGAGCGACTGGAGCAGTCTTCAATCACATGTGTCGACAAAGTGAAGAATGAATTCCATGTGTGGGCGCGGATCTTTTCTCCTCGTGTTACGTCCACAGAATGGAGACAACTCCTAGTTACGCTCGTGATCCTACTCTAGATGGCACCACAAAATATGCCCGTGACGACATTTCGCATTAAATATGAGGACCCTACGTCGGTGCCCGGCATACCTAATAACGAGACAATGCTCACATCATCATTCAACTGCGAAACTTATAGCAATCGAAACATAGCATATCAGTCATTGGATTAACCTAAGGGACTTGAAAAGAACACTTTGCCATTCTAGAACACATCTCTGTCATCCAAAACATGCCCCACCCGACCAGTGCCCCAAGCAGCAACAGAAACCCACACATTATTTCGCCAGACGAAGAAACTTCACCCGAAAGAACCAGCGCAAAACTACAAACGAGATTGAGCACCAGCGAACTTCAGAAGCCCGAACGTACCAAAATCGGAGAAAGTCAGCGTCCGGCGAGACCCGAGAGGAACACCGACGACCATACCGGCTGCGGCGACCGGGACTTCACTTGCGGCGGCGAGCGGCGGAGCAACCGCCGGCTTCTCCATCCGGGAGGCGGAGGACAAGCTGCGTTTCACGGCGGACTCCAAGGAAGAGCTTCTCTGGGCAGAAACGCACGAACCCATTTCCCAAGTCCCTGAAAAGATAGCGCCTGGCGAGGTTAATGTAACGTCCGTCACGCCATTGCTGAGATACAGAGAGACCCCAGGAGAGGGCGTCCGCTTGCTTTCTTCCTCTGCCCTTTTCTCCCCGTGGCGTCGTGCATAAGAAGAGGAGGGGCGAAATTGCTTGAGGGAGGGAGAATGCGGGCATGCGGTGGTGGAGGACTCTGGGCGTGCAAGGGAGGGAGGGAGGAGGAGTTGGGAAAACGGAAGGGAGATTTGGCCTTGAAAGTGAAGTCATCATTGGCCTTATCATCGTCGTCTCCTTTACGGGAATTCGGTCCCCCGTCTTCGTTCTCACTTTTCCTCTTCGGGAAACGAGGGGATGTTCGCTCCAATCAGCAGCATTCTCACTGGCGCACGGGGACGTCTACCAACCGCTACGATGTATCTTTATAATTACTTTAGACTGTTGCAATTTGTATTTCTTGGTCGATTATCGAATTAGTGTACTCACAAAAAACTCCATTCGGGTTCATGAGTGATGTGCAATTGACTGACTAAATCGAGTTAAACCGACCAAAACGTGCGAGTCCGCACGAGTAAGTTGCGCGCCGTACTTTACTCAAAATCGATAGTCGCTTCAGCATAAACCTGCGAAGGTCGGCCAAGTAAAAGCTTATGCACGAGTGGCCCACCCCAAGCCCCCCGTCCAAGTCAAGTCCCGTGGCGTGGAGACGTCGGTCATGTGACTTATTAACGGGATATAAGACGGAATGGTACCGGGGGGAAAATTTGGCAACGTATATGAAAAGCCCGGACGACATGTCTATCATACATCCGGTGATTAGTTCCCTATCTAGATTTACTGGCTACACTATGGCTAATACGGTTACGGCTCCAAGAAAATTATCTTTCCTACCGATAAGGTATAGAGAGAGAGAGAGAGCTGTATAGTGTCGTGTGCTCGAGTACCGCAGTCACCTCATGATGTTGATACGACATGACCACCTCACGGTGGTCGCATCAAACGACGCTCTATGTGCGTGTTGGCAAAATCACCGATGGATCGAATTGAGGAATAAATGAAAGTTTAGTGTTCGTGCGATTAAAACGTGAGCTGATTGCAAAATCAACTGAATACCAGTCACTAATAAATTTACTGAACTATCTACACATCTCACGGGAGAATGGATGGCCAAACTCGGAAGAATCAAACACACAGATGAAATCCAAACTAAGTCACGACATCATGACCCTAAACTCATCAAAATTGATCACCCCGTCCCCGTTGAGATCGAACTTGGCGATCATCGCCTTACACTCGTCGAGGCTCCGGGACTCGCCGAGCCGGCTCAGCATCCTCCTCAGGCTCTTGGGCGTGATGCACCCGCCGCCGCCGTCCGTCTCGTACATCTTGAACGCCTCCTTCAGGTCGGCGGCCCTCTCCTCCGCCCCGCCCCCCTCGACGAGCGCCACGAAGTCCTCGAACCCCAGCTGCCCGTCGCCGTCCCCGTCCAGGGCCTCCACCGCCGCCTCCGCCTCCGCGAGCGAGATGTCCCCGCCGACGGCCGCCACGCACTGCCGCAGCTCCGCGGGGGATATCTTGCCGTCCTTGTCCCCGTCGAAGTGGCTGAACACGCGCTCGTACTGCTCGTGCTTGTTCATGGTCGGTCCGTAACGTCTGAATTAGCTACAAAAGGGTTGAACTTCGCGCTCTAGAGATGATTTCTTCCACGTTGGATAGTTTACCTGAAGAAGAGGGGGTGTGTTTATATAGGTGGAGAGGACGCGTGTCGTGCGTTGACCGACCGACTGAGGTATAACTTGAAGAAGGGGGATTTTTCATTTGCCTTTCTGGAAAGGAAGAAATTGGTGTGGTCGATGTTCTTTTGTTTGAAAATTAGCCAAAAGAAGGAATATGTAAACAAAGTCAAAGAAACTCGGACTTTGACGTCATCGATGAGACAATGCCTTCGTACCCCTCGGAAAATTGCCTTGTTATATCATCTTTGTTATTGTCATTGTCATTAAGACCACCTTTTTTTTTTTTTTTAGTGTATCGTACGCGGACCGAAACAAATTTGATTCACGGGATGCTAATCGTGTCGGGAGAACAGGGCGCGCGTTGAAAATTAAAAAAAAAATTGTTCAAATTAGTTATCGTGTTAGTACCTTGTCGCTATATTTTCGATGAGTTCCCATGTTGTGCGTGTCATGGAGGCACTACGAGGTTAGCTTAGATTAAGTGGTTTCACCTCGTGCCTCTGATCCGAGTTGGTAAACACGGTGATCGAACATGTCGCACCAATTTACATGAGAAAGAGTCATTATGAATATATACCCGTGTATATATAACAATTCATCGGAATCATGAAATTGACAATCTAGATGTATTTCAGCGTGTTGAAAGTATTGTCAATGGATCATAAATGCTCTTTTATATTCATATGGTTTCTCTACACTTATCATCTTAAGTTTTTGGATTGGATTTTCTAACATGATATCAAAGCCAGTACTATCCCTTTCGCGAACGTATCTCCACTCCCATTAGTCAAATTTCACTTGCTGTGGTCAAAAATTTCACGGGCCGCTCATAATCCGGCCTACACGTGAGAGGAGTTGTTGAAAGTATTGTCCCACACTGCTTGTCAATGAGTCTTAAATGCTTATTTATATTCATGCGGTCTCCCTCCACTTATCGATTTAAGTTTTTGGACTAAATTTTCTAACACGGCGTATGCTCCGGGAACATAGCAAAACACACGGAATTCTGAGTTTCTTTTCATAACGAAAATTTTCGTGCCAATTTTAGCAATGATGAGGCACGACACAATTACAAATTTTTATGACCTGGACGTCGTTATTTTCCCTGAAAGGACATTGGAGCATTCAGCGGGTCCAGGAGTTCAGTGGAAACAGCCGAGAACGAACCCACAAATTCTGAACCCGAAGAGGTAGCGGGGAAGAACATTCCAGAAGAAGGAAACGACATGCCATGCACAGTACAACGGTCAAAAAGAACCGTATGGAGCGGACCGCCCGTAAAACAAGGAAGTGGTCAGATCAGAGCCCCATTTGTTACGTTGACCGTCGGGATTGATGTGACACGTCACCGGCAGATGAAGCACCACCAGAGAAAGGAGGAGGGGGGGCCTCCCATTTTCGAGGAAGTCAGCAATGGGGGACAAAAAAGAGGAGTGAACATATGACCCTTTTCATGACGGTGGGATGGGGGCGGGAGATGGAATCTATGTAGGTACATTCTCGGGAAGGTTCATCATATGAAATGGGAGCAAAGATAAGGAACCTTCCTGTGAATGTGCGATCGCGAGTGGAGGTAAATCGTTACCGGATTGTGCTTAACTTGTTCTCGATGTAATTTCTATCGTGTTTTCCGGGATGGGCAACCTCGGCTCCGTCCCATTCATACTTTAACTAAACCGAGTTTCATGAAGTTGTCATTGCGCCCATTTGGGGGCTGATATGGATGAACCGAAATGAGCCCATAAGTCTAGCTACTTCTCGATTGGAACGATGTGTTTCCATGGCCTGGATAGGTTTCCCGGGTCCGGTCCGATCAATTAAGCTCTGGGAGGTGCGACTTTCTCTTCTCCATGAGCAAATGCGAGCAAAAGATTCTTAGACTCGATAGATCATCTCTTTCACTGATTTTGATTCTTTCCACTTACCTATGAAAGTGTTCTAGGAAGACAAATTCTTTCACTGATTTTAATTCTTTGGACTCGATATAGATCAATTGGGCTCCGGGACCTCCCATTTTCGAGGAAGTCAACAAATGGGGGACAAATAGCAAGAAGAGAACACCGCCCCCCACCGGCCCCTACCCCCCAGCCACCAAGAAATGAGATATTTCCTAACCCTAAACTTCAATTCTTAAATGAAATATCTCTGTCCATTTTGGTGTCAAAAGGGAGAATGAACATATGACCTTTTCACGACAATGAGATGGGGGTGGAAGATGGAATCTATGTATGTACATTCCCGTTTCTTACGGGGAACCTTCCTGATAACGTGCGATCGCGAGTGGAGATGATCGTTGGACGAGTTTGATGCAAGTTGCGCTCAACTTGTTCCCCAAGGCTTGCTTGTCAAATGTAATTTATATTGTGTTTTCCAGGACGGGCAACCTTAGCTCCTTCTCGTACATACTTTGACTATACCGAGTTTCATAACCAAAATACTCTTATCCAAATCAATTCGAAGTTGTTATTGCGCCCATTTGGGGGTCGATCTGGATGAACCCAAATGGGCCCATAAGTCTAGTCGCTTCTCGATTGGAACGATGTGTTTTCGAGTGTCCAACTCGATTATTTTCCTCTTGAGATGATCCGGCCTAGATAGGTTTTTTGGGTCCAATCCAAATGATTAGGCTCCGAGAGGTACAACTTTCTTTTCTCCACAAGCGAATGAGACCAAAGATCCTTAGACTCGATAAATCATCTCTTTCATTGATTTTAATTCTTTCCACTTACCTAGGAAAGTGTTCTAGGACGACAAATTCTCGAAGGGACAAAAGAGAATCAGGTGCGTTTCACACTAAAGTTAGAGGCTCCAATGTGACGCGCATGGGAGGCTCGTCTACTAGTTTGGGCAATGGATGACGTGGCCGAGGATGGAGCACGAGTTGTGTGAATCAGTAATGACAAAAGTACTTCACCGGTTTGCCAAATTGTTTGGTTCTTGCTGGGCTTGTCTTGTGCCTTTGTGCCTAAATGCCAATTGCTTCTTTTGCTAATTTTCTCCTTACGTCCCCAGTTGTCCAATTAGCAAATTGCACCATTAGGGGAATCAATTGCTGACAAAGCATGGATCCTCTCTTTGTCCATTTTTCATGTTTAAACATCCATTGAGTGGTGTCTTGAAAACACCTCTATATATTGATATTTTACGAGTATATGGTATCGAAGTATTTAAAGAATTTATAAAAGCATCGACACGGTGTACCATGAAAGAAAGGCCCGAGCATCCACCATGATGTGCTGTATATTAATTTGTGGTTGGTCTGTCTGATGCTACTCATTTTATATATATAAGCTTGCTGATTATGGCACCAAATGGTCCAAATTCATCTCTACATGAAATTAATCACCATATGCTTTCTTTCTTTCTCTTTTTCTGCATCAGCCATATCAAATTGCTCTTTCTCAAATGACCCTGTGCTTTCAACGTAAGATTTTCTTTCAACTATCGACGAAGTATGCACAAGCATTCTCAAGTTATCGTCACGTACGATTCAAAATTTTTTTCTTTTTTATCAAAAGTAAAATGTAGATTGCGAGTTAGCTATTACTTATAGAACATAAGTATTTCATGCGACGAAAACACAACCGCGGTCACGGATGAATCCGCTATGAATGACATTAAAACTTACTTAAATTTTGATAAACCCTCGCGACAATCATTTTCCATGTTTTCCATTTCAGTATAAGTAGAGAGCTCGTGGCCGCATGTAGGCTGGTACGGAACGCGCGTTCGAACCTTCGAACGTCTCTCGACCGTCCACGTGTCGCCCCTCGGATCGATCTCCCCCGTCAAAGGCCCGTGGACGCCCCGAGCGCCCCACCCTCGAAGCTATGCTACCCTCCGTCGCACCCTAGCCGATCTCAGTGACCATCGCCTGGCGCCTCCCGGTCCCCAATGATCTGGAGACACGTGGCAGACTGACCTTTCACCGGCCGCTACAGTGGTTGCGCTCCGCTGCGCCGCGATTCGTGGAATCACGCCCCCATCTCCCAAGGGGTCGCTAAAACCTCACTTTTTTTCTCGTTCTTTTCCCAGGGCCCTCGCCAATCGCCATTTCCAATTCTCCAACTAAAACCCTAATCCGGCTGCCACTTCGCCGCCATGGCCGGACTGGGCCGCCACCTCGCGGCCGCCGCCGCCGCCGCGCGGAAGCTGCCGGAGCGGCTCGGCATCCTCGCTTGCCGGGCCTACGGGTCGTCGGCGGGCGCAGCCCTCTGCGACTACTACTGCTACTCGGAGGAGGAGGAGGAGGAGGAGGAGGAGGGGCCGAGGACCGGCTCGCAGAAGCTCGTGCCGGAGAGAGGGGTGCAGTGGGTGGTGATGGGGGACAGGGGCGCGAAGAAGCACGTGTACGCGGAGATGCTCTCGAAGGTTCTGGAAGTCCCTCGCATTTCCATGGGCTCGCTCGTTCGCCAGGAGCTCGACCCTCGCTCTTCGCTGTATAAGCAGGTCTTGTTAGTTTTGATTCTCCTCTTTTCTTTTTGCATGTGTTATTGGAAGTTTGCTCTTTTAGGAGGAGAACTAGCGTGCTTGATTACGAATTGAGATCTGCTGGCGTCACCGATTACGATAGAGCATCGCGTGATTTTTCAAAGTTCTTTCGTGCTTTTGTGCGATTGTGGAGACTTATCAAGTCCGTGCGTCTTTATTTATTTTTTGAGTGAACGTGTGGGAGTGTTCTAATTTTGAAGCGTGTTGCTCTGTTCGAGCCTCACGTGATCGGTCGTGTATTTTCTTTTCGATTTCGCTGTGAAAAATTGAAGCTTTTCTTTTGTTTTCGTTTACCCGACAGATTGCGAATGCCGTGAACGAGAGGAAGCTTGTGCCAGAGGAAGTGATCTTCACACTGTTGTCCAGGAGGTTAGAGGAAGGATATTACAGAGGAGAAACAGGGTTCATTCTTGAGGGTATACCCAGAACGAGGGTCCAAGCTGTAAGTGGAGTAGCTCTCGACACTGCCCTGAAATCAGCTTTTGACGCCGAATCTACTTGATGATCATAATGTGAATTCGCATGACTGTCGGATCATGCGTTTGAATTTTGTTGATGCTTGGATGGAATCTTTGACAGTGGACTGTTAATGTTTAGTTCTCACGAATGTCGGTGCTTTCCGCAGGAGATTCTCGACCAATTTGCCGACATCGATCTTGTTTTGAACTTCAAGTCCACAGAGCAAGACCCTCTAGCAAAGAATTTAGGGACTGGAGCATTTCCTCCGTCCCTGGACTCTACCAATTTGCACATACCCGGATCCAAACCTGGTTTGAGATCACCGGGTGAGCGACTGGTTTCTGCTGATGTCAGCAGTGCCTGGAAGGAAAACTTGACTGTGTATGCAGAGCAGGTAGGGTGTATTCTTGAATATAATTCTGAAGTTATATGAGAGATTCAAACCAGTTGTCTTTCTCTCATTTCGGTATGCTATGTCCTATGTGTGGGGTTCCATCCAATGTTACTATGCATGCGCATAAAATGCTTCTTTAGGCCTCTGGTTGATCTGTCATGCTATCATAAGTAGTGGAAAGAATGATTTGCTCATTTGCCTTCTATTTTCAACAGAGTAAGTTGCTGGAAGAATATTATCAGAAACAAAAGAAACTTCTCAACTTCCAAGTTGCAAGTGCGCCCGGAGAAACCTGGCGCGGGCTGTTGGCGGCGCTACATCTTCAGCATGCTGTCGACTCTTCCCAAAAGCTGACCGCATGAGTCTATTCTTAGTTGATTCGTGGATGCATATTCCCGATCGCAACCCCGGCATATGGTAAATACATACGAGTCTAGAGCGAGTTGAGTTCTGGCAAGTATTCCAATTTTGTTCTAGTTTTTGAGGCATCAAACCGAGTTGAGATGCAGTGTGTTGTGGTTTTCCATGTGAGGAGAGATATAAGAACAGAAAGTACTGGCATGTATGACCATTAATATGAGAGCATGTCTATATATCTTGCGATTGAAATCATTTGTTCTTGTGGTGTCCGTTCTTATTATTATTATTATTATTTTCAACTTCTATTCTTGGCTTTTAGTTTCTCTATTTTGATCTGAATAATATTAATTGAAAGAGTTGCGCATATGCAAGTCAAGTTGAAATTAAATAATCTGTACCTTTTCATATCGATGGATAGATTTAGTTTAAGAAAGATGCTTTTTTTACATGCGAAAGAAACTAGCATAGCAACAACAACAAAAGAAAATTTCTTAGTTGGAAAATTTCTATGGTAACGCACGCATGTTCATTTTGTAGATGCCAAATAACTCTCCAGAAAGAGCTTACAAGCCTTAAAAAAAAATTCGTCAGTCTTCAAGAAAATTGAAGCAGTCTCCAATATAAATTCGAGTGAAAGGGCAAAATGTAAATTTTTCATGGTAATATTACATCCTTTTTTGTTTTTCTTCTAAACGAATTTAAGAGGGCAAAATGTAAATTTTTCATGGTACTATCACAGCATGATGTTGTTGCTCGCATCCTTCTTTGTTTTTCTTCTAAAAGAATTTAAGAGAACACGAGATAAAGAAGCTGCAATAAAACGACAAAATCATGCTATTCATGACAGTCCCCCTCAACTTCTTTGCCTATGTCATTCTAGGCATATTTCATGACATTTAGTCAAAAACAACATAATCAAACTTCAGCTGAAACATTTCAACATTTTGCTTCAGAATTCCAACAATATTCTCCACAAAGACTCAGCTCAGCTGAAACATTTCAACATTTTTCTTCAGAATTCCAACAATATTCTCCCACAAAGACTCAGCTCAGCTGAAACATTTCAACATTTCAACATTTTGCTTCAGAATTCCAACAATATTCCCCACAAAGACTCCGCAACCAAAAGAAGATGAACTCACCATTCCATCATACTATAGAGTCGCAGAGACCCATGAATTAAGGGTAGTCTTGATTCCTTGAAATTCTTGAGAAAATGAGAAGAGGAAGTTAAGTTGTGATTTTGAGAGAGACGAAATTCTGGATTGAAAATGAAAAGAGGGAGCTTATGAGGGTACAAAGAGAGAGCAGAGATAAGGTGAACTAAACAGGGAGGGGAGAGAGAGTAGAGATAACGTGAATAGGGACGGCTAATGCATAGAGAAAAGAGGAAATTTCAAAAATTTCCAACAAGTGGGACTCGATGGACACATGTCAGTTTTATTGTTGAGTTTGCGATATTTTCTCGAGTTCCTTGCACTAGTCGAAGTCGAGAAATAAATGGACAATATTCAGTTGCAGACACCTGTTTGGTAATGTTTCTATTCCCGATAACAATTTATGTTCAAAATTTTTTTTTTCTATTTCTATTCCCTGGACGAATTTCTGAGCAGAGGAATACATTTGATAATTACACAAAAATTATATTCCCAGAATAGAAAAAGAACAAAAATGCATTTGGTACAACCATAAAAATTTCTATTCCCAAACGGATTTATGTTCTTTTTCTATTCTAGGGAATAAAAGAACATAAAAATAAAAAAATTGGAACGTTACCAACAGACCTTAATGATTTGAGAATTGAAGTTCAATGAGCCAATAGAACTAGAAGTGTCCATGTCTAGAATTTTGAACCAGTCCAGAAATGATGGACTAGTGAAGTATTTCTAGTGAGAGAGTTAGGTTGGTTAATGGACATGATCGTGCCACGTGGTCATGTACGGAAATTGATGGTGGATAGGTCCCCACATGGCATAGAGACATAGGCTAATGACTGGTTGGCACATGTTAAGAAAAGACAAGTCGATACGAAATTGCTACGTATTGAGACAACATGGGTTGATACTAAGCCCAGTGAAAAGGGTTATAGGGATAAGTCGAGCCATCTTCAATGATTCTCGCTTTGAGTCCACCAAATCAAAACTCTCTAAGACATCTCACCAGGACAAAGATATCTACAGATTTTGACACCAATCCTTATGAGTATATAAGAATCCTTATGAGAATATGAGAATGTTATGTTAAGTAAGCTTGTAATAAATCCCTCAATAAAGGATATTTGTTCGTAAATTTAGGATATTATAAAGACGTATGATATATATAATAATAAAATTACACATCTAGATATTACAATTCGAACGATCGGTACCATAATTGGACATTATCCTCCATTGTCACCACTCAACCCCTACTACTATCGCCTTCGCATTCGCCGCCACCTTCACATTTGTCACTACGGCACTGATGAAAAATTTAGTGAATTGAAAACATTTATTTAAAGAACATTTTAGTAAATTAAAAGAAATTAACAAGCTAGAGGAATAGGTACGAATTTTAAGAAACTAGGAAAGTAAAAAATTTGAAAGAAAAGAATCGTCGTTGCAATCTACACCTGTTGATGCCCACCTCCCATCACCTTCCCTAGAGGCCTGCGACCACCCATGTGTGGTGGTCGTCGTCTCCAAGAAGGCCTGCGACCACTCTCAACGCCCCAAGATCGAACCAAGAGAGACTAGCAAGGACACACGCACAGCCGGAGTTGCTCGAATGTTCCGACCACGGCTATGCCACAGTCGAGGATGGTTCCGGAGCTGATGGTAGCAGTGAATCAGTGATGCCTCTCACCTGAGCTTAGTTGCTTTTTCTTTTAATATTTCTCTCTTTTTCATGAATTTTTCCATTGTCACTTTTTTCTAGTTACTCTTTCCAGCTTTCTTTTATTTGCACAAGTCCAAGTGACTCTTCAAAGCGGTTCACACGTTAAGCTTTTGCCAAATTCTTTCTATATAGGAGCTTCAGAGATACCGGTAGAAACAAAATCAGATGGCATATTTACATCTCAGAATAGCCAGGGGAAGGAGGAGGAGGAGGAGGAGAAGCAGGAGGTGGAGGGAATGACAATCATTTCTTGATCACGGAGTAAATTTCTATAGCTACTCACAGTTCGTCCAGATCTCCCGCAGAAGCTGATACCTAAGAGATTTTCGGCAGTGTCCTTTGCCATTCATCTGGACGGGCTCAGCGGATGTGGAGGATGAAGATGAGGATTCATTTAAGAAGATTGATGTTAATGGTGAATTCAATTCATCGAGTTCGTCGTCGCTATTTTGTGCTTTCTCAAGCAAGGACGACCTGCTTCTTCTCAGTTGAGATTGGTTGCTGAGCTCACCAAAGAATCCTGCCACAGAAGGTGCCGAGGGTGGTGGATAGACTGGATTGGCTGCAATGCACGGGTAGCTGTTGACTAATTCCTCCCCAGCTTCGAAAGGATCCTGCATCATCAAGAACAATAGTGGGGTTTCTGTCTGCTTTGACTGATTAGTCAGAAAAAAAAAAAGGGCGAAAGTGCTTTTGCAGGATCATTAAATACTATCCGGTGGATGCAATCACTAACCTCAGAGGCCAAGGCCTCCAGAACGGCATTTGGGACCGGATCAGGGCAAAACTCGTCTGGAGAGAAATTGTCGAGAACCCTCTTAATCAGAGATGCACCAAACGTAGGGCATACCTTCATGGGGCAAAAAAGATTATACTCAACAATACTATCTCACTGGAACAATAGTCGAAATGCTATAGAGCTTAAGACTATACCTCTTTCCTAGTCGGTCTACTTAAAAGCATGTCTTTAGGAAGCATCATAAGATCACTCAAAGCATTTAGGAGATAGAATGATTTGAAGGTAGCATCTCGTGTTTCATCCTCATCCACAATTCCGTTCTCATCTCCATGTGAATCATCATCATCCAAGCCAAATAGGTCAGTCAGCCATCTAGACCAGTTCCCAATCTGACGTGCCACACAAGAAAAGTAATAACACAACTTAATTCTTCAACATGCAAGGGCCAAATCATACATGATACATGATTAATGATGGTTCAGATCTAGTCAAATGAATGAAGCAGATCACGATGACCATTCCCCTTCCTCTTCTTCGGCGTTATAACAATTTAAGCTATTTAAGTGCAACAAAATGGATCTCTTGTGTTCTATCTGATTTGCAACATGATTCTTTGCATAACGCCGCGAAGAAATGGCAAAGGTATTGGGAGAACCTTGGAATCACTAGAAATCGAATATCGCTTACAGCATTTTTCAGTTGAGCACCAGCTTGGAAGCTTGACTTTCCTGCAGGTATTGGGAGAACCTTGGGATCACTAATGGGGTCAGACACCGGATCTGTTGGAATCTCATTTGCAGATTCCCGAAGAATGGCATTGAACATGGCTACATCTAACCTAGCCACGCAATGCTCCATTATCTACACAGAGATTACTAACTTCAGTACTATAGGACTAAACTGAAAAGTGAAGACTCCATACATCTGAAAAAGGGAAATTGGAGCAAACACCAAGAAGTAAGGGTAATGATCAACATCAAATCAAGAAGGTATAGTAAGTAAAAATTGGAAGAAAATTCCAGTATCCCTGCACTGAGATGGTAATGCTCTCTATAGTAGTCTAGACGTTCCCATTGAATAATAAAAGGCATATCTTTTCCCAAATAAAGTTTAATAATACATTCAACCATATGGATTCGATGAGTTCAGAGTTTTCAGACAGTGAAACCTAATGTGCAACCAAGATCCTTGATGCTCTAATAATGAGGCCAAGACCAAAATCCTCCATTATATATTACTTTCTTTTCAGGAGAGTGAATATTCTTAATGTTGCATGGAACACAATTAGATATGGTTTACAGTGAAGTGCTACATAGCATGCATGAACGGGATGCTGACAATTCCCGGCTGAGAGAATACATGGGCAACATTCCAATGCTAGAGAAGTTCTATATTTTTTCGCATTCTATTTTCTAATGACCTCCTATTTGCTATTGCACATGATGTTGGCAATCGTCGATGTCTATTACACTAATCCAGCCAGTACGGTGATTAATGGCAATTCAGAGAGATACCAATTTAGCAAGCACGGGCAAACAACCACACTCGTGGCCTCCACCTCTGACAGGACAAAGTCTCTCACATGCATCCGTAAATGCTTTCTTCCAGAGATCCACTGAAAGGTTGCCTTGCTCTTGATCTTCAACATATCTTATTTTTCTGTTGTTTTTAATAGAGCCAGAGCCCTTGGCTCTACCAAGCAACTTTGCAGCACTACACTGCATGTATGGAGTCAGAGACTGAAACATGAAACAGAAGATGCCCGTCAGGACAAGCAGTCAAAACATTTGCAATTATACTGACAGCAGGAAAGTAGAAATTTCAGTTGGAGAAAAGTAGAGGAAGTTGGGGAAGATGAGAGAGGGCTAATGTAAAAACCTGCCACCACAGAGACTCAACAATGCGGGAGAAGATCCAAGCTTCAACTTTTTCCAATTCAGATATGAGTTTATGCACATTCTCAATGCCAGCCTCTGTTCTGGCATTTTTATTTCCCTTCTTTCTGGGGTAGGACTCTTTCGATTTTAAAGATAGTGGTAATTCAATATTTCCCTTCGGTATCATCTGGCTTATAATTGCTCTTAGCACCACAGAATTTGACAACCAATAAGTTAACCTGTAATAACAATGTAGCTGTATAAAAGCTGTTTGAAAACTAATTCAACTCAAACATTTTTCCCACATGCAACAGGCAATGCAGGCAAAGAAGTGCAATGACAAGACCAAAACTCTAGCATCTCCACTCAATTTTAACTAAAACGATATTCTTGTAAAATCCCCAAATCAACATAAGCTAATACCTGTTTCCCATAGTAATTGCAGCCAAACTCTGGTACCCTTCATCGAATAAAACAGGCATATAATATATTTTCTTACACATGCAGGCAAAAAGTTATAACAAACTTTTTTACATGAAATACGCAAACTGTTAATGGAGAATATGACGTTTGGCAAACAAAATACACCAAAACAACAATGATAGGATTTTGCCAAAAAAAAATTAGACAAGCAGAAGAAACAGAGATAAAAATGCACCTTGGTACATCGCTTCCACATGCTCTCGCCACCAAAAACAATCCTGAAACTATACTCCTTCCTGCATTAGCTCTTCTTGCTTGGGGAAGCTCTCTAAAAGCATAGCGATAAAATCGAGAAAGGCGCCTAGCTGGAGCATGAAACTTACTCGTGGAACCACCATGCTCTGCGACCACTGAATATAGAGCAACTTCAATGGCAGCAGTTTCTCTCAACTCTCCCTCCAGCATTTGAATTTTGTTCTCCAGCTGGTGGAGCTTGGCATCCATAAGTGCGCGTTTTGTATCCTTAGGATATACTTTGTCCACCTTTCTGTCACAGCCACTGTGGTATCTTGCTCCCCCTGTATCCTGCACAGGACCTCTTTCGTTTTCTTCCTCTGTTATGCAATAACCATTTCTGTTCCCTAGGAAAATGGCAGCAGTTTCTGGAGTTAATCTCTTCTCGTTGTTGGCCTCACTGCCAGCATAGTCATCAAATCCCTGCATCTCGTCGGATGAAACTTCATTGGCAGAATAACAGGGCAACATGCCATTCTCAGCATTTGTTGGGTCATTGCTTCTAATTTCAGTTCTTTCATAGGAAACTTTCCGGTGAACTTCATGGGCAGAACCTACTTTCCCAGTTCTTCTTGTGATGGAATCTGCTGCTTCTCTGTCAGTACCTAGTAAAAGACAAAACGAATCAGTACAATGGAAATTGTTTTTGGGAAGGGCATCAAACTAGGCTCAGAGAAGTCAAAAGAAGCAGTATCATTTTTCTGGCCTCCCCACCTCAAAGGACAAGTCAACTGACGATGAAAGTGAACGGCGATTGAGAGAACTTACAATGCGAAATGATGCCTGGCATCATGTTCGATCTTTTAAGCCCAGCTTCAGAAGCTAAGATATGCTCCTTTCCATTGCTTTCTATATTATTATCCGTAACAACCAATCCACTCTGTCAATCAAGGTACATCGTTTAGTACTGTCATAACATGAGAAAACATACTGTAAACTCTTACCTTAATTATGATGCCATCATTAATCCACAGCACAGAAATCGGTAAAAATATGGAAGATTCAAGATATCCACTAATTTATATCCAATTAGGTAATTGTGTGAAGTAGTTTTCTAAAAGAAAAGCCAATGATAGAATGAATTTTCTTGCCATGATTTCTCCGGCATTATCCATCAGCTCATCCAGAGGACAATCTAAGCCTACTCACGTGTGTCTTCTACTCACTCTGCATGTGTCTTCTACTCACGTGCATTATCCATCAGCTCATCCAGAGGACAATCTAAGCCTACCATCTATATATAGATTAATTCCCCTGATGCACGTCTCATCTTATGTGCAAAAATATGCACAATGCATCCATTAGCATGCCTACCATAATCAATATTAGCAAAGAGGGACTTGTAGCATCACTAGAATGTCAGCAAAACAAAAGGTTCACTGCAACCATAAGATAGTCAGAGAAAAGATGGCTACAGCTACAGCAGGAAAAGCATGAAGTGAAAACACGGATAGATAATAGATTCACGTGCATTGTCCTTTTGTTCTTCCAATGGAACATTTAGGCCTGCCATCTATATCTAGATGAATTCCCCTGATGCACACCTCATTTTATTGCGAAAGTGCGCACACTATTAGTATGCTTATCACAATCAATAATAACAAAGAGGGACCTGTAGCATCTCTAGAATCTAACAAGAAAAAAAGTTCACTGCAACCGTATCATTATCAGAAAAAGATGGCTATAGAAGGAAAAGAATGAAACTGAAAACACAGATGACTACCAGCTGCATTCGATGCACCGAACCACCATTATGCTCCAGAGGAGGAGAAGAAGTGGTCGCAGAAGAGTGAGAGGAACCATCATCATCAGTGGAGAATGTAATCTCTGCTTCCTCAGCAAATTCTTCATTAACTGAATCTATAACAGATTCACAGTCATTTATACCTAGAGACACCTCCTTCGAGTGACTACTTCCCCTTAACAATGAACTAGTCCTACCCTTATCAACAGGGTGAATCTTGACGTACAAAATAGGTTGAGCCATATTCCTAAAGTTCCTTTTGCAGTTCAAGGCAGCACTTATATTCAGGGGCTCGTCCACCACACCATAGTCTGCCAAGTTTATCATGGCAGTGCCAATCAGCTGCCCCTTCATGATATTATCTCTCCGAGGCTCATACAGGTTAAACTCCAAGTAATTTTTCTGGAACACATCGCCATTCCCAGCTTTGACCTTGACGTCCCTCAGCAGGGTTGCGGATAATCTGAAGGATTCGTTGAATTCTATTTTTCCCTCGCTGACATTAGAGCCGAGAAACGGAACGACCGGCTTAGTAGCGCCGGAAGTCCTTTCCCCGTTCTGCCACTGGATCAGGACGGAGCGGAGGGATCTGAGCGTTTGCGACGGAGGCCAAGGCGTGATCTCCTGAACATGGATTACATAATCAAGCTGTACCGAGGCGCTCTTTCTAGCGTTCGCCCCCGAGCCAAGAACCATTTTTCTGCCGTCTCCCAGTCAAATGCTATGCCAGAGCAACTGGCCCTGCAGCCATGGAGAAAGATCGCCCAATGTCAACAACCCAACAAAGACCAAAGACATGTAAACAAGGAAATATCTAGCATAATCTCAGAAGACTCTCCGTCCTGGAAAAAGCACCTTCAAGGGGCAAAGAAAAGGAATCAAAAGGAGCTCAATTTGGAGACGCAAAGTGCAAGAACAGAGACGACGGCGAGCACATCAACGCACGAGAGCTCCGAAATCACAAGCGCGGATCTTTACGTCGGCAATGTCGCGGCGCCGACATCAACTGAGCTTCCAGATCAAAAGAAAACCCAAAAAGCTTCAACCCAACACAGTCGCGTTCGATCATTCCCCAAGCTCGGAACTAGAACCTCCCGAATCGGATCATTTCAGAATGCCGGAAAACCAATCGACGACGCGAAGCCAAAAACGAACCATGTCTCAGCTAAAGAGAAAAAGGAAAAGATCATGGCGCGGCTCTACACCGACATTCACCTGCGAAATCAGCGACCGGGGAGCTCCGAAGGAGTTCGTGGGCGGACAACCGAGGAAGACGAAACGTCAAGGATGTCGGCGCCGTGGTCCGCTCCGACAGCAATGTCGAAGCTTCCCCAGTTCAAGAAGCTGCGAAGCAAGAGAGAGAGAGAGAGTGTGAGTGAAGTGAAGGGGAATGGAGGAGGATGACAGGGACAATGGCCTCAATATAATACACAGAAATATTAAGAAAAAAAAATATATCAAAAAGCGACAAATGGGAGAAATTAATTAGAAAAAACTGCGGAAATCGGGAAAAGACACGCATAAATAAATAAATAAATAATCGTGACCTCACTGTTCATTCCGAGGTAGAGTAACTTGAAGGATAATTAAAGAATTCGCTGAACTCGCCGACCCAAGCGCCGTCGTTTTGCGAGCTCCGTGTCGTTTTCAGGTCGTTTGGACAGTGACACGGTGACGCCCCGGTCGGCCTACCGTTTCGAGGCAATCACAAATGAGTTGGTTAAAAGAGAAAGGTTTAACTTCAAATTAATTTTTTAAACATCAAAAATTTCAAATTGGTGTATCTGTGATAAATTTATCTTACTGTCAAATTGCTGTGTTTGATGGTACGTGACAGTCGACGGATATACCAATTTTAGAGTTTGACCCTCCGTTTGTTGCAGACGCGCTTATGATTTTTCATGATATTAATTTAATTTAACGGAAACTAATAGAGAGTAAATTTGTTACAAATATATTAGTTTGTGACAAATTTATCACGGATGTATTAGTTTGGAATTTTTCGTGGTATTAATCCAAAATGAAAAAAAAATGGGTTGGTCTTATTTACGTGGATTTTCATTTTTAAGACCTTAATTTTACTCGTACTAATCCGACTAGATAAAATGAATTTTCTTCTAGATGATTTCTTCCCGATAACGACTACTTTAACAAAATTAAATTGCCGTAACAAGCGCGCCGGTAGCTACTTTGGCAAATGGGCCCGTGCAAGCACACGTGACGATCACGGCGTCGGTTGGCCTCACCTCGCTTTAGCCGGTGGCGGCCGCCACCACCGACGCGTCGGTGCGGGGTCTTGATCGAATCGGGCCCGTCTGCAATTTGCTTTGAATTTAAGGTCCTCAAAAGCGAAGAATTTTATCAATCGGATGGAGCCCCATCTGCCGTCATCACATCGAATGTGGAAAATTCGACCCCAATAGTTTATCAAAAGTTCCCCTCGACAATAATGCCCGAAATCAAAATGAATTTAAGTCGATCGACGTACTAAAGAATTGTCCCCAACTTCCACTTTCACCAAAGTCTGTTTGGACATTGACACGAGACCAGATTAAAGCCTAAGCGGAGAGAAGGACCGACCAACCATCATCACCGAACGGCCTAAGTTGCACCAAGTGCAGGCCAAGCAGTACATGCTTGTACGTCTTCCTGTCGTGCCTAATCACACCAGCAATGTTGGGAGATGCACTTCAACTCTAAGCAATTCACGTGTTTTGAGTGAGATGAATGTTACTTCAGGGAGAAACAAGGGACAGAGAAGGAGACCGAACAGGAGGTGAGGGGGGCAAAAGAGGGTATGGTATCAGCCAGAGAGTGCTGGCTAAAGAAGCTTTGAAGGAACAGATCCTTACAATCTATTCATTTGGGGATGCGATAGAGCAGTGCACTTTACAGAAATTGGTTTTCAGCAAGCTAAGTGTAGAAGAATTAGCATATGCCATATGGAAAGCATACACCGGCGCAAGCGGGTTTCATACTTATAACCATGGTAACTTATATCAGGGACACTGAATTATAGCTACGCGAGAAGAGAAAAAATTGTACATGGCGGTAGTTTCTGCCGTATCTTATCTGTGTAGGGGCGTGAAGTCAGTAAGCTCACTTCCCTGGTAGATTACAAGGAAAACAAAAGATAAATGAAAAGTACATAACGCCGAGGGTATACAGAGCATGTTACAATTTATAGGTATCTCACTCTTCACCGGGGTTCTCAATCATCTGAAGAAGAGTTGAGATAGGATATCACAAGATCAGCTGCTTTGCAGCCCGACGCAATTGATTTGCCAACAGACAGCCCATCCTTGTGGTTACCTGGAAATTTCATGATTAACAATGCCCATCACAACAAAAGGGTACATTCTCGTACCACCACTCAGGCTGGTAACTTGGTTAGGATAAGAAAAATCTATCTTCAACAATTTTATGTGATCAGTGGTCAAATAAGAACAGGACTTGGAGGATGAATGATCGATATTGGGCTATTAGCATGATGTGAATCTCATACCCTTCATAAGATGAAACTCTCCCCCACAGAACTGACCTCTCCCCTGGTCTCAGTGAGACCAGCCCCTTAACAAGAAAGAAACTCTCCCCCAAAGACAGGACCTCTTCGATGTAGATGTTTTCACATCTTAACAATCTAGCTTACCTCTGTTCTGTTTAATAATTTAGCATGTTATTATATGCGGGCATTTCTCTGGAACTATCAAAATCTTATAGACACACGGTAAACAATGTTAACCCAACAAAATCTAACTCAGATTGTTGTTTGACAGTTGTCAATCACATGAAATATGACTGTAATTATAGTTTTGATTATTCAACTCTACAAATTAGGGTCCTATTTTTCTTATATTAAAAAGAAGAAAGTCCAATTCTAGTAGGAAGTTTATACTGAACATCAGAAAAATTACCTGCATAGAAGAATCCAGGAAGTTCTTCTTCTAACTTTGTGATTGCTTGCAGAACTGAGTCATAGTTCTGCCCATACAAGGGGAACGCTTTACTCCAGTAACAGTGGCTGAAATTGAGTACGCAAGTTAGTAAGAGGCATTTACATAAATAAACCTACAGTTATTTAAGAGAGAAAAGGTTAAAGAGTTTTTAATCATTCGCTTACTTCACAAATGTGGGCTCTCCCTCAGCTCCCAGCAACCGCCTTAGATCAGAAGTAACTATCTGCTTTAACTCATCTCTAGAAACATCAAAAGACGGGAAACCATAAGTTTTGCAATGCAATAGAACACTCAGAAATAAACAAGAGCTCAGACATGAAGCCAAAAGAAAATTGGAAGAACATGACTGCAAGCGTCTCATCAGCTCCTACTTGGACGCTTTTGCAAGTTCTCTGTTTCGACTTCCCCCGATAAAGGTTGTGTATAGGTACAGGTCATTAGGTGCACGGTCTGGAAACATCATGGAGGAAAAGAGTGTTCCTGCCAAAAGAAAGCTATACAATTATCCCTGGTATAAAGGAGACTGGCCTGCATTATCCAGATGTCTTGCCACAAACAAGCATTACCAAGAGTCCTCAACCCATTTTTCTGCTCCTCTGAAGGAACAAGAACTCCAAATCCCTCAAGTGGTCTCTTCACGTTCTCCTTTCTGAAGGTAGTAATCATGACTGACAGTGGTGCGTAAGTTATCTGCATCACGCAATGCATGTCAAATAAAGAGCATCTGCTATAACATTGATGAGGGAACGTGGTGAGGTAAGATGACTGCCTCTTTTTCCAAGGCACTGAGGGTAACAGCACAAAAATGTTTCACTCGTAAAATTAAATTGTGATCTAGGTAAAAACATAGATTCCAACAACTGAAAATAAGCCAAAAGGGAATCTATATGAGATCCATACCAAAAGAAAATCACTCGAGTAGATAGATAGAACAAGTCACTATTACAAGAATACAGCATTCCCAAAAAGGGAATCAATGATGCACGAGAACATTCATTCCTTAAGTCACAAACACAAGGTCTTGATCCCAATTAGTTCCTCGATAACGTTCACAAAACTTTTGCTGCAGATGTTTGAGGACCAAAAAATCAGCAAAATCGAGTCAATAGTTTTACTTAAAAAAAATTTGCCCTTTGTCCAACACCTTCGGGAAGTAAAGGCCTTACTTACTGCTCATTACAACTTTGGCGAGTGTACACAACTACGCTGCCTAAATTTTCTACCAAGCTGTGAAGTGGAAACCAGTGAACGTCTAGCTTTGACAATAAAACCGAAAGCGAGCATTTGCTCTCTCTATGGAAATTGTAAGTGCAGGTAAAAAAGTAGAAGATTCGCTCAACAAAAGAAACTGCAGCTACTACGATTACATACCTCAGGAATGAAGTTAAGCGGAAAGAGGTTTCCCCTTTTTGTAATCTTCAATTCCTTAACATTGCATAATGGAGCCTAAAACATAATTGACGAGTAATTGATAAGATAACAACAGTGTTACCAAGCATAAAGAATAAAGAAGTGAGAGTGGGAAAGATAAGAAAAAGTCATTGGGTTGATGGCATATAATACATCGGATGCTCTTGCACAGCAAATATAAGTATGCACATGTCACCATGGTTGTAAGCATAATGCAGTCCTCCTGGTAAACCCATAGAATTCCTGTCTGATAATTAATAGCATTGTAGTTCTTCACCTGCAGCTAAAGCTATGCAGGAAGCCAGCAACTCTCTTTTTTAAGTTTGGACAAGTATGCCAGCACAGATCTGACAAGAATTTTGAAGATCCACCCGTTGGTCTACTATATGTTCATGCAAGAGGCAACAGACATTTGCTGAAGATCTAGATCGCTACAAATAAAAGCACTCAAATTATACAGCAATGTCATATCTCAGTTAGAACAAAGATGACAAACCGTCATGATCACAGCATCAAATGTCGAGTCTTGTAAATGCTTGTTATGGTCAGAAGAGTAAGAAACGGACCAATCCCCTGATGCAGGTGCCCCATCATGACTGCACGACAACGACAAAACCTTTGATTTCAATTTAAGGTCATCCTGGCTAAGCTTCTGGCACAACACGTAGGCAAGTGTCTGCACAATGGAGAGAGACGCACTGACTGAGTTCAATGCATAAAGATTGGGTGCTACAACTTCTCTGAGCACAGAAAAGGAATACGACACTCCCTACAGTGGCTCACCATAAGTGCTAAGCAGTCTTTCCCCAAAGAGTAGACAAATTGCATACATCTACAGGTAAATCAATGTAGGTAGATTGATGCTTGCATAATAAGAAAAGCTAAGACATTGGACAGACCTGCATTCCACCCTGAAAAGAAAATGAACCCCTTGGACGCTTCTTTTTGTCAGGAGAGCTCTTTAGTTCTCCTCCTTTCTCTCTTGTGGCTGATAGCTTCGATTTAATTGCCCCAGCAATAATCGAACC